CTGACGTGGCATGTTCGTACGAACCCTTCGTACGAACAAAAGTAAGAGAAATTTAGGATAAGAATATGAACATGTTCTTGCATGAGGCCCATTGTTCTGTATTGTGCCTTGTCTCGCCACTCCACTCTGAGTTTTTTGAGCTGCCCTGTCAGCACCTTTTTGTTTAATAAATACTTACATACTAAGTTACTTTTAAAGGAGCATGCCCATAAATCCTTGTTTTGAGCATTTTTTACCTTTACGCTGCATGAGTGTGCATGCAAACTGAAAAGGATACACAAAAACATAARAACAAACTACCACAGTGATGCTTTCAGATTAATGAAAATAACGTTCCACTCATTTTCATAGAAGAGCTGCCATACACAAATGAAGTAAAGCTGTAATACCAAAGTAGATTCAATTAAAAGCTCATATTATTCTCATCAAAGAATATTTAGGGTAGTTTTGTCACATAGAAAAAACCAAGGTAAAAACCAAAGCAGATACCTTGATTCTGATGATACGCTTCTTCCAGGAGCGCATACCAGACAGGTAAATCTCAGAAAGAGCCTGGTGAGAAAGCCGCAGATCGATGCCATCTGGAGTGACCGTGAACTGGAAGGCCACTGCCTGGTGGGCTTCTGCCATGATTACTGTGCACCAACAGAGGACCTAGTATGGACAAGTAGAAGAAGATGAGAAAGAAAACCCTCTAGATGTCAGTTCTGGTGTCCTGCATTAATGCCACACTAAAACCACTGACCTCAAATGAAAATCATGCACAAATATTTTACATTCTTCCAGAACAGCTCCTGACTTTTGACAACCGCTGAATCAGAAAACAAACCTGATTCATGTCTGGTATGGATTTTTAGCAACATATAAATGCACAGTTTAAATGCTCCTTCAATATTAACATTACAGGTCTAATTAATGGTACAAGATCACATTAAACAAAAAATATACATCCGAGAACAACAAAGTAAGGATGCACCGATATGAAAATTTCAGCCGACATCGATATCCGATATAATTATTAGGGGTGTAAGAAAATATYGATACACTGAAATATCGCGATATTTTATTTCCCGATACTGTATCGATATTCTAAAGCCCTGTATCGATTTTTTTTATTAAGGTTTAAAATGTCAACTTTCCTGCCAGCCGTTCATTTTTATGTTGTAGTTCAGCCTCTGACCACTAGTTGGCAGCAGTGAGCCAGACATTTGGCTCCTCTACCTCTTGAGGTAGAGGCTATTGTTAAGTGTTGGGTGACCATATTGTAAATTAATATTAAAAACTAAAAGCTGCAAAAAATATATTTTCAAACTATTTATTGTCAAATTTAGTCTAATAATTGAAAACATGGATGAAATAAGAAATATGAAACAAATAAAATAAAGTACATACAAAGCAGAACACAGCTAAATGTATCAAAAGTATGTCTCTGTAATATTAGAATTTTCTGAGACAATGAATTTTGGTTTTTCATTTTTTCACCCAGTAAGAGGTTTTTATTTAATAGGATTTTTGGACAAAAAAAATCGCAATATATCGCGATATATCGTATCGTGACCCCTCTGTTATGATATGTATCGTATCGCCAAATTCTTGCCAATACACAGCCCTAATAATTATTGGTGTTATGGCCAATAACCGATATTTACCGATATTACACAAACACACAAATTATATTATACATATAAGCAAAAACACAATTGGGTCTTTTTTTTTGATACCGTAAATAAACAACCAGACCTCTGACATGACCTCCTACTTCAGTTATTCCTGGCTGCGCAGCGTCAGTATCAATATCATGATCAAACAGAYGAYGCTCAACCAACYRTCTCMMCTCCCAAAACAAAAACACAAAACTAAAAAGAGGGAAATCAATATCAGTTGTTAATAACGGCCCCGTTTTACATATCGGACCGATACTGATATTCTAAAAAATGATCAATATCGGCTGATACCGATATCAATACCGATATATCGTGCATCCCTACAACAAAGTACTGAAAGAGAAAAMAAATCTTAAGAGACATATTTCCAAACTTATGATTAGAAGTAATATAATAATTACCAAAGCCTTGAGTGTGACATTTTAATATCAGTTGGTAGATTACAAAACAAGGACATATAGATGTAATGAGCTTAAACAACCACTTTCTTTATCATGTTTTGTCCCACACAATCTGTACAAAAACATTTAAAATATGCAAACAGTCTGGAGCGACATCCTTTATGCTTTGTGAACTATGGTCACATTTCTCATGTGTAACTTCACTGCAGTAGCTGAATGTAATCAGAACCCTGATTCTGGCTGCATATTCTGTGAAGCAACAAACAGATAACACAACAAACTCAACACAAACCAAACTCATCCAACACATAAGAGCAAAAAAATAAATAAAAATAGTCAACTGAGGTACTATAGTTCAGAGAGGAAAACACTAATTCCTAATGTGACGAGATACTTATGTGTAAGGTGATTCCCACTTCTCTCCACAAAAGAAAAATGTATTTTTCTTTCTCCACAAATAGATTATGGATAATAGCCTGAGGTTTAGTGTCAGTCACTGTGACACTGAACTGCATCCATGTGGAAGATGAATGCTAAAAAAAAGCCCACACATACTGTATGCATCTCCTCATTACCCCCAGATCGCACCAAAGCTCTTTATTTGAAGTATGGCAGATCCAGCAGCCATACTTGCACAGTTGACTTCAGCTGGTTTACTTCATCTTCTTGGCAGTGTTGACCATAACTCTTACCAAACAGAAACAGGAAAAACAGGCTACAATAACCAGACTGTGAAGTTGGACATAACAAGACAAGCTGTTATTGCAGTCAAACGTAAAACGAGTAAACAAATGCCATTCTACTGAAAGATGCAGGACATCCTGTTTTTATGACCAAAGGTTTAGATTTTTTGTCCAACGATTTAAAGGATGGTTCACTATCACTCAACCTGAGAAAGGAAGTGAAGAAAGGGACTGGGTAAACTGGGACAAAGATAAACACCTTAGTTGGAGCCATTTAAATTACAAGCATAATTCAAAATAATGACTGAGCTACTGTGTCCAACCTGACATGAGCATTTCAGGTCAGACAAGAGTTAACAATTACTGATGTTTAAGTTATTTTGCTTTCACTGAGTGGCTGGAAGCCTAAAGAGAAAAAACAGAAAGAAATCAATCTCTACTAGGGCGTTTGAATGATTTTAATAAATCTGAAGCCTTGCAGAATTCAACCTTTTTTCCGTCTACTTTCTGAACTTTAAAAATAAAACCTAAATAATACAAAATAAGTGTCTAAATTATGAACAAGTGTCTTCATACTCATACAAAACACCAACTGAGAGAAGTACAGGAATCTAGTTGACCAGGCCTCCAGAAAAAAAATTAAATTAAATTAAAGAAACGTCAGAAGAATGCATGAAGATTTTCAGAAACTTTATAGAAATTGCACAACCACAGTTAAATTGTACACAGTTACACTGACTGCCTGTTCTGAACTTCAGTCTAAACATTTCCAGCCTAGAAGGAAATGAAGAACAGGTGAAAAAACAGTTTAAAATACTGCCCACTAATAACCAAAATATTAAAGTATACATGCATATATTCATTAAATACCCTTTTAGACAACATAGTGAGTAAAATTACTCCACATAGGACATAATGATAAAAACTGGTAAAAAAAAATAAAAACTTTTATAAAAACTTTTCACTGCAGTTATATATATATCTTGTTTTTAAATTTATGATTCACTGCTATTTAATACTGATTTTAAAACTAAAGTATTTTTGGAAACGTGTGTGTCTGTGTGGGTGTGTGTCATTTATCAGTGAAGGAATGCAAGGAGATACAAAAGATTGTAATCTACACTCCTATTCACCAGATAACAATTTGCTAAACAAACTATACTTAATCTGGCTGAGCCTTTTGTAAACTTGTGCATCTGTGTGAGTAGGAAGCTGAAAAGGACATAAATGTGCTTAGTTCAATTTTTCAYTAGCTGTTCAGTTATAATAACTAATGTGTAAACTGTAATGTAAGGCTTAGGCAGTATTTTAACTGGCTTTGTGACAGTTCAACACGAACAGCGAGTGTTTCTACTAGATAACGCAGGCACATTAATCTAAAGTTGAAACAGTATTAAAACATGTCAGAATAAACATCTTCTTCCGTCTTTTTGAGACGTCGAGTTAATCTTAGACTCACAAATAAATAACACTGTCAGCCAACCTTTTACAGTTATTATAAGACAGTTTAGAGGTTAAAGCAAACCTATGTTTTAAGTAATAACACACGAAATTAATAATTGATGCTAGCTGATGCTAGTGCTGCCTAGCCGAGCGCCCAGCCCATTATGTAAACCGCTGCTGAGAAAGCCTGCTAACGCTCAGGCAAAAGATGCGACTCTTTGTTTCTTCACTGCAACGCATACATACATACCTTTGACGTTTTAAAATATAAAATTATCCAAGTTTTAGAGGAGTAGGAACCGACTATTAACTTCTGACGTCGCTCGTGCGCCCGCCACCGGCTGCTGTCGACCGCCTTTGCTCGAGCGACAATGCACAGCAGATACTCACTGATGAGTTGACGACGCCTTCACGGACTGTCGGAAATCCCTCAAAGAGGCGACATCGATGACGTATGTTAGGAGGCTGGCAAATGGGTGGATTATTACAAATTAATGATGAAAGGTCATTGCTACTGTTTGATTATATATATTTTTACTAACAAATTTGTAGTTTAAATGTTAAAAGATTACTGAAGAAGACCAGGGCCTGAGTATTAGTAGTTATAATGAATAAATGAATCCCAGTCCATTCTTATGGGGTTTTTTGCCTCTCTGTTCAAACAAGTTTAAGATRATATCGTTTAACAAGAGTTCTGTTCGTGACAACTGTCCTTTTACTAAGCTGATAGTTTTTAAATGATGTGAAAAGCAAATGAAAATACTTTTTGTTTCATTTTCTGTGCTTAATTGCCTTCAAATATGTCAATAAGATATTATTTAGAACAGTGGTTCCCAAACTTTTTGTCTTCTGACCCACAAAATATCCATGGCAAAAATTTGTGACCCCAAATATTACTGGTCTGAGTTCATGAACTTCGTTTATAACCCTAAAAACACAGGCTTTTTGACAATCTAAACAGCTTATACACAAATATAAATACTTATTTTTACTTATTTTGTGTTTCTGTAATAATTATAGGGGAAATATTACATCAGCAATTATTTTATTACCCTTTAAATTGATTTCTGGAGATTATCCAAGGTGCTTCATGACCCATAATTGGGTCCCAAGTCCAACTTTGGGAACCAAAGTGCAGTGGTTCCCAAACTTTTCAGCTTTTGACCCACAAAATAACAGTAGCAGAGACCTGTGCCCCCAACTGTTTTTGGATGATAAACATTTGTATCAGGTCAACAAAACATGGGCATAGTAACAATATTTTTTTTACTACATTTATCCATTTTAAATATACTAACCTCACTCATTTGTAACAACTATAAGGCAAAAATGTAATTAATTCAGAAAAACTTTTCAGGACCCCACCTTGATGTTTTGGGACCCCACTTTGGGTCCCGACCCCAACTTTGGGAAATACTGATTTAGAACACACACATTAAAAATGCCTGCAAACTGATGGTGAATCTATTTCAAACAAGAGTTTTCTCAGTTAATCTGCAGTAAAACACTCACGTGGAATGAGGTTCGAGTTCAGAAACTAAACAAACACACATATGAATTTAGGGTTTATTATTGTCACCATAACAATAATGTGAATCTCTCTTTATTTTGACCATCACTTCAATCATATTTGTTCTTTTATCACAGGCAATAGTTATAATAGTGCACTTTTTATATTTAAATTATGATACAGACATTTCATTTTTAACACCTTATTCTACTGACCCTTATGGATGGAGAATAGTTTACAATCTTAGCCAGAGTTGGGTCAATGAAGGTGGAGGTGGTGTGACGGATGTGTGTGTACGGACAGTGAGGCAAACAGCTTTGTACATATCTTCCTGTGAGGATGAGTACACAACAGAGGTGAAGAGGCAGACACGTGGTTTAAAATGGCGAAGCACGAAAGCAAAAAAAGATGTAGCGAGTCAGCAACCACTCAGTGAGCATGAAAGAAACGAAGTGCTTGTTAGATTTTGGCTTTGATAGTTCATTTGATATTACAGAAATGAAAAGAGTTGGCTCAAAATAGATCAGCTGCAAAGCTCACACGCAGATTCCAGCAACCAGAGATAAATATAAGATACAGACGAAAGTCAGTAATGACCGAAGGAAAAAGCAACTCGTCAAACTACCATTAAATTGGAAAACAACTGCTTCGTTTTCTTTTTAAAATGCAAAATTACTCACAAGAACTGTATAATTTGTAACGTTGTAAGCATACTTTTTTTCTTTTTTGTAAAGACGTGGTCTAAAATAGCTTTAAATACAATAAATAAATAAATAAATAAATAGCATGGTGAAAAAAACAACGCAGGAAATAAATAAATAAAAAGACCTGTAGCACTGTGCGTCTTTCTGAGAACATCCTGCGCTCTTGTTGCATATTGCGCCATATGGAAGACTGGTGAAGAACACTGAACGGTCTGACAGAGGACTGGAGTAATGTCCGTCAACGTCCAAGTTGCTACGTCAGCATTTGCACGACGGTGCGACACTCAGCGATGCAGTGATGGACGACTTGGCTCATTGGGTGGACTCTTGAAAGGGTTTAGCCTCATAAGTTCGGCATCATGAAAATGTCCAGTGATGAGATTCCTTTTTTATTATTATTATTTCTTACAAGTCAGTATGTGAACACTATGGAAACAGGAGACAAGCTCAGCAAAGAGAGGTGCTTTCTGTTTGATCCAAAGGTTAGGAATGCTCCTCTCCCTTTGTCTGGACGCAAACAACTCTGATGAGGTTCGTGGAGATATTCACGCATAGTGTTTTGTTTTTTTATTCTTTTATACAGTGGTCTTAATCACTTCTGTTCAAAACAAAACACTTCTTCAGAGCAATGAGAATCCAACGCAAAAATAACTCCAGCTGCATTGTTTCATATTGTCTCTGAGTAAAAAATAAAATTAAAAAAGAACCAAATCAACTTGAGATGAATGTCTGCCAACAAGCAACGCTCCGACAACTTGGGGTTGTTTTACTTGCTGTCCGTACTGATATCGCTGTGCTACTGACATCTTAAGAAACAAACTGATCAACACACACACACACACAAAAAAAAGAAAAAAACTAAATAAAAAAATACTTTTTCACATTCACTTAGCTTAATTGTTGGCTTTCTTCACCAGAAGAAGCCGCTGCTGGAATCTTAGGATGCAGTTTCTTTTGTTCAACCTCTGCAAACTAACTCAGATGGTAGCAGGTTGCTAACTGTTAGAATTCTTCTGCTGAGATGCAGTCATCCTCCTTTCGTTGTGGACTAGCATCTGTATGTTGCGTAGGAGAGATAGGAGTGCCGTAAGTAATTTAAAGAGTATTCTTAAAAACCATCACAAGACTGCGACTTGTTTTTGGTGTCAGGAACTGCAATACRATGAAATGACAGACTAGCCTGTCTGAGCGTGTCAGCATCCTTTAGCGGGCTAGTTTGCTAACTGGCATGCACATCARCGTTTGAAAATTCCTACTTTGATCTGTGAAGCTGTGTTGTTGACAGATGGTTACCAAACTGCTCATTCACATAGATATTTTTTCTTGATTAAAGGGTCCTTAATATGTCTTTCTCAATTAAGGGTAGGAATTCAAATGATCCTAAAGATCAAGATGATAAGTTGGCAAAAAAAAAAGGCAGGATGGAGGGAAAAGGGCTCAATCTTTGCTATGGTCAAGCACTTTCAATAAATTAGTCAAGGAAGAATAGGAGTATCTCATGCCTTGCAGGGATACTTAGAGAAGGAGCTACGCTGTCTCTGTTCTGGTGTTGCTCAAGCATCCTGCAGCGTGTTCTCGTTTTCTATCCTAAGGTTGGGATTGAGTTCCGTTGGAGGATAGCAGGCGGGTTCTCTCCTTCGCTGAGCCTCTGCGCTGCAGGACTCCTCCGCTGCCGCCTATGCCTCCGCCATCTGCTCGGTCACCCCACTCGCACCTGTCGCCCCCACCCTCAGAGCGCCTCGAGTTTTGGCGGGTGGGGGTCCCGTGGGGCCGGCTGTTCTTCTCATCTGGGAAGGGATCAAAAGAGGAGAACAGGAAAGTCACTCTTAACGCATACATAGAACCTCTTCACAGATCAGAACCACAAAGAGGTTCTCAAATGGTGGCGGCCTGTAGCTCTTCAGGATTTWWTKTWWTTTTWT